GTAATTGAAGTTGGCGGATGGATTACGGATAACTAGGTTGTTTGAGGGGATGAAAGCTCGACTCGTTTGGAGGGACCATGGCGAAAGAGGAGCCGGAGTCCATATTTGCGCGTTTCTCGCGGTGCAGTCGGCGCTTCCACGTAGGGAGCGAAATCCTCAAGGAATTATTAACCGCGATATTTTCCAAATCAACGGATGCACTCGAAAAATCGTGGATGTCGGGAATGCCGGGTCGTTTTGATTTTTGGTCAGGCCGGACACGCCGAGGCGGCTTGGACCCCATAACGAAGGCTACGGGGTCGTTAGGGTAATTCGATGAGCGCTGATTGGCGGCCCTGGAGACCCTAGGGTCCCTTCGTCCGTATCTTCCCTCCGGGGTATCTTCCCTTTGGTTCCACCGCGATAACCTAATGCCTCCAGATAGGACGCTTTTTGCCCGCCGATAAGGAGAAAAATGGCCGCCGCCGCGATCAACGATTTATGACGTTTCTGTATGTTTTTCTTTTATTTCTTTAGTTCTTCGACGTGAACTTTTATACCTCGTATCGTTCTCTGGTATCCTGGGCATCGACTTAAACGGCACGTTATTCGTATCGCATGCAATGACAACGTCAAACTCGTGGCGACGTGCCTGGGTGGTTATTTTTTCAATTGATAATTATTACAGGTAAATCGTGCTCCGTAGAAAAAAAAAATCATAGTATCCGTCTTTTTCGCTCCATTTTCGACAAGGACTGCCTTGCCCATCGTTTCCGTAACACCCTGTACGTTCGAGGACCCTCGAAGAATTAAATTCGTCCGATCGAGTGATAAGCCGCACGGCTTAATCGCGCCTGACACTCCTCGAAAAGCCGGCGTCGAGCTATGGGGAAATTGAATGAAGGTGCACGCCACCGTGTAAACCCGCGAATCCCGTAAATACGAGCACCTTACGAGGATTAAACGCGCGATGTCTGGTTCCTTCCGCCCTGGAATTGGCAATATCCGGTTCGGCTCTTTATTTCCCCGAGAACGCCCCTCCCGGGGGGATATTTTCACCCGAGAACCCCCTGGCCCCCTCCGGAAAATGGACTCCCTGGAAGTGCGAGGAAATCCCCATTTTTCGTAATTTCGCCCCCCAGCTAGGTGGACTAATTTCGGCGTCGCTCCCGATTTTTCGCAATCCACCGAGACGGAGGCGCCACTCGGGGATTGTTTAATAATTCCCCGGGACCCGCGAGTCCGGAATGGACCGACCTCGACAACGGGAGGAGCCGCGGCCATTGAATTGCCGAGCTATGCGAAACTTCGCAATTTCCGCGCGTTATATTTCGCGGTGGAGGGGATGCAAAATGTACCGCCACTTTCGGGGAGAATTAATACTCTCTCCTGCGAGATGCGAAATCCAGGCCTCGGTTTGCGGGGAGCTTTTCTTTGCCGGGGGGCTTTTGATCGTCTTTTCAAAACTTTCGGGACGTTTCGGGTCGAATTAGTTGGGAGGATGGCGGACGCGATGATTTATTTAGACTGCGAGGCTGACAAGAGCCGATGCTTATTCGAGGCGAACTCGATACGACGGCCTTCTTCATTTCAATTTCTTGGTGACGATTCGATCGTGCCTCGAAATGCCGACTAGGTGGCAGACGGACCTTTCCGAGTCATTTCGATGATTATTCATTTTTTTGGTGAAGACGTCGTTTATATTCTTTCCTCCGAGAATGCCTTCGGAGCAATGGTACAATTCGTTCCATTATGAATTGGAAAATAACTCGACTTTGGAATTTTAAGGTCAGGCGTGGTGATAAATTGGAAATTCTAATATCGGATGGTTTCGAGTCACTTCGATGATCGTTCGTGTCCCTTTGAGTGCGTTACTTCCTAATAAGAAAATAACATTTCTAAATGGCAGGGTAAAATTGTTAACGAGAGGAAACGTCTGTATATAAAAAAGGGGTAATTTCTATACAGGAAAAACTGCGTTTGGAGTCCGATTCATCCCTTATTCGTTCATACAATTTCCCGATAAACCAGAGATTCGAATCGGCCCGGTCAATTTTTCTCGCGTCCCTGGAATCGCGGAGGAAAAATGGAAGCATCGGGGACACGGATCGTCATTCCCGACGATCCGATGTCCCGGGTCCCGTGGGAGCCGGGGACGTTTGACGAGCTCGCCTCGGGGTGGGAAACGGGGAAGGGTGTCCGGAGGGCGAAATCGCGGGAGGGGGCGAGCGGCCACAATGACAGATATTAAGCCTCCTATTTACGTCCTAAGTCAACAGTGCGTGGAATTTCGCTTTATTGCTCGTATATAGACCGGCGTCTCGGGGACGTGGGCGACGCCGCGACGCCGCGACGCCGCGAGCACGTACGCGCGATTCTTCGCCCCTCGCTGAATGCACGCCGTTTCTCGCCCTTCGTATACATACCGAGTACATGCCCGGTATAGAAATATATACCGGCTGCCAAAAAAATAACCGCTGCTCGCCAAACATCGCTCCGCGTTTTCCGATCTGCAAAATGGCCGCCTCGCATCGAGGCTATCACGAAGAATACATCGAATCGAATAAATCTTATACAATAAAGGTCACTCGTTTTTTGTCGGTGGGCTGTTTTGTACATTGCGACGGGTATATCGTCAATTGTAATACACGCGTATCTCCGTGGACGTCCGCGATTTTTTTACGGGCGCCCTCGAGTACGTGGGAAATTTTTACTCGTGATATCATCCCGTGATATAATTCCCGTCAGCAAAAACGGTCGTGATTTTTTTTTTGAAAGAAAAGCGAAGTCTCGAGAGGAACCAGAGCGAGGCACGAGGCGAGGGCTCTCGAGCATGTGGCAAATTATAAATCAGAGAGCAGATCGAGATGATCGCCCGATTAGGGTTACATCATGTGCGCATCGCTCGTTGCAAGTCATAAAGCCGGCTAAACGAGGATCAAGGTCTGCTTTTTAGCGCGAGCGTTTCGCCGATATCTCGACGCTGAATAATGTAGAGCGAGGCGTTTCGCGCTTATCGGTCGTCAGCGGTTAAACCGGGCCGCGGTTGAATGCCTCTTTCTCTTCTTTTTTGTTTTCTTTTTTTCAATTTTTATCCTTTTTCGGCGTCCGAAAATTGCGAATCGCGAGCGCGCCTCGACTTTGGCCGTGGCGGGGAAATAAACCCGCGACCTCGTTCGGCAGGGAAAAATGTTTCGCGAATTTTTCGAATTTGGGGCGAATTTCCCTCCGAGCTTTTCAATTGATTCGAGCGAGATTTGGGGAACTCGCGAACGCGAATGTCGCGCCTTGGACTTCGGTATGGAGAAAAGGAGAAAACGAAGAGGAAGCACATGGCGAAAGAGATAGGCTGAAAAAAAAAACGAAAGGATCTCCAGCGCGCTGGATATCCTTTATTACACTTTACCTCCGCGCAATAAACGGTGTCGCGGTTGTGTACCTTCGGAATATTAAGGGCGGCTTTTAATATCGCGGAGGTTGCGGAATTTGAACAAGGAGAGGTTTTTAAGGGATCGCCGGGGCCATTTTGGACCTTTCTAATTTTTCATTTTTAAACCTTGAGTACCGTCATTTCGATAAATCGTGATTTTATGCGTCTCGCTGGAGGAAAATTCGCGAGATGAACCGCGAGGGGATCCTCGGTTTCTCAGGGGGACTCGCATGGGAATCGATGGGACGAACCGTGGGAGGTCCTTCGGGAAGCCCTATGGGAGATCCGTGCTATTGCCCCGCTCCTTCCGGGGTGGACGCGCGCAATAAAAAGGAAGACCGAGACGAAAGGCGGGATTCCAATGAACGGCCAGGAATCCCGAAGGGAGGACATTCAAATTGCTTGCGCGACCTTTGATGATCCTTCTCCTGCGAGGAAAGTCCTGCCAATATTTACGCTGACCGAGCCCGTAATCCCGCGATCGGATGTCCAAGATGGGAACGCCATCGAAATCCAGGACCCCCTGGATTTCGGGATTTCACGGAACCCATGGTCCTTGCGGCATGTCTTGCGACCCCATCTCTGGATGGAGGCCTTCTCACATTCCCGTCATTTAGAACCCACCCCTGTCTTAATAAAAAAATATTCCTTCAAAATGCCTCTCCATTCCCTCGTCGTTTTAATCGATATCAGTATTTAAACGTCCTTTTGATAAGAAAGAAAAAAGAGGAGGGAGGAGGAAAACAACAATTGCCGTGATCGGGGTTATGTTTTAAACGATGTATACTTTGATGTGAATTATTTAATCTTTATTGGCACTTGTGGGAAAAAAATAATATCAACGATTTTTGTGCTCGCCCACCCTCGGACCTCGTTAACGCGCGAAACAATCGGAAAGTAGTTTAAAGAGAAAAAGTAATATCGGGGCCGGCGACCCTGCATTACGGGAGACTTTTCTCCGGGAACACCTGAGTCTCCCCCCAACCCTTGGGGCAATATATCCCCCAGCGGTGGCGGACACCCCACGAGTGGTAATCGTGGTCCGTTTCCGCCGTTCCGCTTTCCCGTCACGTGTGTCGCACATACGGCCGATTTCATTTTTCCAAGCAACTCCGCCATTATATATGCAAACCTGGAATCGTCGGCCCGAATTTATCGCCGGGGGACACACCCCTGCCGAATGATTACTCCCTCCTTAGTCTTCGTTCTCGTGGAGCGCGATTTAAAAAAAATCCATTCTACCTCCCATTATTTCCTCTTCATTCTGAATTTTCGCATATTGGAAACGAGAAAATCGGGTCGAGAATTAATACTTAGAATTTTTTATATCCTATCTCGCGAAAGTTGGAATTTTGCCTTTCTTTTCTTGCGGGGAACGGTAAATATACGGTATATAAATGTATATGTAATGGATACAGAATGTACATATTTATTCCTACAAAAATATATCCAGAGGAAGGACAAGGGTAGAAATTTGAGGAACTGATTCTCGATTTTATCTTACCCTCGTTTTCGGGATGCCAAAAATATACATACATATGCAGATATATCGTCATGGAAGAATTTCTAAACGTATGCGTGGATGTTCCAGGATGCAGGGACTGGCGAGTCGGAGAGAAGGGAGGTTCACCCCGTCGTTGGTGCCGTTGCTGCTGGTCGGACTACCCCTCGCATACGGTGAGTCACTTTCGCAGTAATACTCACCCCCTGGGGGCGCCTCCCCTGCCGGCGGCCGGCTAAGGGTGCTTTTTCGCCGGACTCCGGGCGGGAAGTTGGAATGGAAATTTCTGGCCAATATAGGGGATGCCACCGACTCCAAGGGGTGAAGGTTAAGGGGACGTTGCCCCGAAATCTCGAAAAGATGATCTAGCGTTTAAAGCCCCTTCGCGCTCGACTTGTCGCCGGGGAAACTTTCCAATCTCTACACTTGGCATTTTTTAAAATCATGCAAAAAATTTACCAATTCTCGGGATAACTCCATCGCATTCACCGCGACGTCTCTCTTCGACGATGGAATACTAAACTTGCCGGAAGGATACGAAATTTAGATCGAGGGAATTTTTTTTTATTTATACATACATATAAGTAAATTGCCCGGCTAATTGAAATGTGGGCCGCTTGAAACAAGTGTATATTCAATTTATCATGCCGATGTGATTTTTCCTTCCGAGGGGTCCATGGTTCCGGAAAATTGATGAAAACGCCCGGAAGGATTTAACCCGGGGGTGAATTCGACGCGGAGGGTATTTTGCTCCGGATGTTTCGCGTTTCGAGTCGGAGCGAAGGGGGCACCACCCCCTCGCGGGGGTGGGGTCCCTTGCTCCAGGGGGTACGTCCCCTCCGGTATTTCGATAATTCGTTTACGCATGTTCCGGGATCGATCGGAATACCGATCTCGCCAGGTAATTTGTGGGGGGTGGGCGGGAGCCCGGAATTTTTTTACTCCACCCTGCCGCACCCCCCGCGAAGATCGGGGCTGTAATTAACGGGGAATCGATGGGGTCTCGCGGAACGCGGACGCGATCGTTGAAATTGTCTTTGATTTTAACCCAGAGGTGGATCCTCGATGCGGCCCTTGACTCTTCTGAATGGCGAGTCTCAAATTAAGGCCCACGGGTCGATTCCGTGGATTATCCCCCGCTCTCCGCGTACCAACGGAGTGACCTATTAAATCACTTTATACAAATGAACGTCCTCTCGGAATGAGTGAATCTTTCATTACCCCCCGCGTGAGGTTTCTGCGATACCTTCAATTCAGGGGGGGGGGGATTAATTTGATTTAATTTCCACGTCCGAAACAGACCCTCCCCAATTAACACGTGGTATCCCCTCGACGATCCCCAAGCCTTCCTCTCAATTATTTTACTTTTAGCCTATTACTTTTTAACCGAAGATTTTTTTCTTGTTACTCTTGGCGAAGACCATTTTTTTCTGCAATGTTTCTCGGCGAAGGTTTAATTTCTTCGCGAGAATTTAATTTCTTTTCTTACTACTTTTCTTGGAGAGGATCTAATTTTTTTAACCACTTTTCTTGGCGAACGTTTAACTTCCTCGTTACTTCTCTTGGGGAAGATTCAATCTTTTTACCGCTTTTCTTGGGGGGAAGATATAATTTTTGTTCCTGCCTTCCTCGGCGACGATTTCATTTTTCCTTGATTTTCCCGGAACGAACGCGCTCGAAGGACCGGGGGGAAAGAGTCGCCCCGTCTCGATGTTCTTTCCAGGGGGCTCCTCCCTCGAAGATTGCCCCCCCGCGCCCCTCCCGGCTGCGACCCCCTCGCGTCGCAAACAAGCCAATTCGCCGATCAGAAGTTAGCTTCCGACGTTGAGGCATTCCCGGGGAAAGTCGTTGGAGCGCGAACGCTCGTTCACCCTTAACTCTGGATCCGGGGCGGGGTGGATCGAGAGGGGTCGCTATATACATGTATACATACGTATACATACACACGTGGGAGGGGGTTTCCTCGACGGCGCATCCGGTCGGGAAACGGCGGAACGGAACACGGGGCGCTTTTTCAACCCTCAGTTGAGGGGCACGGCCATTAGGTCGACGCGACCCCCCCGATCCCTTCTTGGCCGCGGCTCACGCGCTCCGTTCCGCCACCCCGATGTGAATGAACGGGGATGAATGAGAGGGCCGCTTTTACACCCCCATCTCGCGCGCTTTGATTGGTCCGCACGGCGGTAGTTATATAAATCGCGATCCCTTAAAGTTTATCGACTTATTAGTCAATTAGCTGGCAGATCGTCTGTATTAAAGTTGAAACGGCTTCTACCCGCTCGTACGTGACCAAGGAACGAAAAGTAAAATATATCATGAATTGTACATTTATCTTATATCCACGAAATGTGGATGAAAATTGTTTACGAGGGGTGCATTTTCCTATTTCACGTTTCAACCCGATCTGGCGAGTTATCCGTGGTTGAGGTCGAATGACAAATCGTTGGCGCTCTCTTTATTCGAGATCAATTTTCGGGTGGATGAAAGGAGAATCTTCCGGGGGTTGATTTCGGTTCCCCGAGTGTACTCTCCCCGGGACGCGCAATCTCGGCTCGTCGGGCTCAATAATAAATTAGCCCCCCGCGCATTATCGAGGTCGCCGTTTTGCAAGGGCCCGGGAAGGCCGAAGGGGATGATTGCGGCTGAAAGCGATTTCGGCCGATTGTCGGAACGGAGATTGGTAATGACCGCGCAAACAAGCCCGCTCGTGCGGAGGGGGCGATTTTCCGAGCGGCCGCCGGGCAAAAAGCTCGCCTCCTTTTCCGGGGGCCGAAGGGAGCCCTCGGGAAAGGTCTCACCCCCCCGACCTCTTTTTTGCCGGGGAAATTTCTCGCTCTTTTCTTCCGCCAATCCGATCTCGCCACCCTCGATCTCGATTTTTTGCAAATTCCTCGACCCAAGGCCTCCCGCTTTTTTCGACCCCCGTCAATTCGAGGAACTCAAAGACCCCCTCCCTCGGACGATTGACGTCCTGGATCACGCATCAACGTCACGTGTATGTTTTTTTTATTTTTTTTTATTTCATCCCTCTTGTCTCTTTTTTTTTTAAATTCGTCCAAACTCGTTGGTTGACGTAGCATTGAATTTAAGGATGGTTTGGAAATTAAACGTCCGCTTGTGTTCAATTCCAATAGAAAGCTCCCCTCCACCCCGGTGACTCGGTCGGGCATTAAAAATTCAGGTTCCACGATCGAGCCGAAACCACCCCCAGAGGCGTTCGTCCGTGTCGTTGCGTAAACTCGGTCGTAAAGTCGCCGAGAGGGTGTTTTCGGGTTTCGCCGTCTCTCCGCCCCCGCGAGGGGTCGTCTCCCCCATGGGGGGTGGGGGGCGACGGTCACCCCCGGGACTGTACCGTCGAGATAGGCCCTCCTAATCGCGGCCGGAGACCGAACAAGGTCAACTCGGGGGTGTAACTGCCGATTTATTCCGCGGCATACTCGCGGCCGATCGATGCCGAAATGCCGAGGAGGCCACCCTAAGTGCAAGCACTGGTCGGTGGCTTCGCGGGGGGTGCACCTTATCGCCCCGCGATAACGACCTACCTCGGAATATGAAACTCCCCTGGATCTCGAAAAGTAGCCGAATTTTGGATCCGACGAATTGGCCGTGCAGGGGATTCGTGAGATTTTCTTCTTATGGGTTTGGAAACGACCCGATTGAATTTATTTCATGAATCGGTCAAAATCCGTATCTGAACAAATCTGAGAAAAAACATTCATAAAATCTTCAAGATCCTCATGGGTCACATCGTACAATTTTTTTCATCGTATGAGTAACCCATCTGGACCAAAAACTTCCGATATCTTGTACGATCGGACGAAACCGAAATTCTATGAGCAACGAGGCTAAAATCAGGGCGTTAAAAAAATGATGGAAACAGAGGAAAAACCAACGACATCGGCGTCGCGAAAAATGTCTCACCGCGTGGGTGGAGGTGTCCCCTCGGGGTGGCCGCGTGCCACGGGGCAGCGTTGCTTGAATAATTCAACGTGTACACAGGATCTCGTTGCGCGTCCCCGCCCTCTCCCCCGGCACCCCCTGCATAGGTGCACCCCCCCATGCATTTTGTCCCTCGATATATTTATCCCCGGAATAAACCCCCGCTAGATTCCGCGGCCTCCCCCAACCCCTCTCGCGGAGGATCGAATTCGCAGTTTGCTTGCGATTTCACGCGCGGTTGTGCGCTTACAGGGCGGCCGCGTGAACCACCCCCGATTTGCCGGGGGTTGATTCCCGCGGTGAACTCGCGAGGGCGCAAACGTTGAATTTCGGTTGACCGTCCAAATCGGACCGTGAACCTCTCGCGCCCTCTAACTGCGCTCCCCCACCCCCGTACGGGGGCACGGCCAATATATTTCCATTAGCGTATTCCGACAGGTCGGGACCCTTCGATAATTTCGCCACCAGCTTTTCCTGCTTCGCGGAAGATCACTCGAAAATGGCCACGCTTTGGGGATGTGTAGGACGTAAAAATGGAAGCACTGGATAAACTTCCGATAATCGCATTACTCCGAAACTTCGTATACCCATGTACTTTGACCTGACGATTACGAATAAGATAGGAGAAATTGGCGCAAACGTTGTCTTTGAGGTAAAAATGATTGTCAATAAATTTTGCAAACTATCGCATTATTTCGATCAGTATAGGTTTAGGAGAAATAAGTTTCAGCTGAAAATTGTAGCTTTTCAGAAAATAATGTAATATATAATTATGCGATATTTTGACAAGAGTCGATTTTCGTGCGAGGAAGTGCGAACATTTTTTCGACTCCCGGTGAATCGATGCACTTCGAATGCACCCGATGACTATTGATCCCGGTGCGACGGAAAACGCGGACCTCCCTCCGGGCTGGCGATTTTCGCGGTTGTTTGTGCACGTCAACTCGCAAATGGCGGCGCCATTTAACCGTCAAAATCATTGGGAAAAGCCTCCTCCCCGGATGGGGGGACTTGCCCCTTCCCCCGATATATTTCCATTAGGCGGTCCGGCCGGGCCGAGTCCTTAATTAATTTTAACGCCGCGATCATGCCGCCAACTTTTCCCATGATGTGCGCGAGAAGGAGCCCCCACCTCCCCCTTCCTTCCTGCCTCCTGACTAAATTAATATATGCGGCTCGCCCTCCTGGAGAGTTACAACCCTTTAATACTTTTACCCCCGTGCTGCGAGTACTCGCG